GAACAGCCTCTTGTGGCTTCTGCGAGCTGTTTCCCCATCGAATCTACATGTTCTCAAGGGCAGTTTCTTTGCCATGAGCCAAGCAGAGGGAGATGTATATGACCGAGAGACGTCTAGTAAAAGTCTGCTGCCTCCCATTGTCCATTCCTCTCTGGACTTGAAACGAACAAGGCTGATTTTTGACATCCTGTGTCTCTCAAGTGCCTTTGGCTTCTGCGAGCTGTTTCCCCATCGAATCTACATGTTCTCAAGGGCAGTTTCTTTGCCATGAGCCAAGCAGAGGGAGATGTATATGACCGAGAGACATCTCCCCTGTCTCTTAGAAGTAAAAGTCTGCTGCCTCCCGTTGTCCATTCCTCTCTGGACTTGAAACAAACAAGGCTGATTTTTGACATCATGTGTCTCTCAAGTGCCTTCCTATATGTGGCTCTAGCTCAGTCTTCTTGTGCCCTACACTGAGGCTACCAATAATTTGCCAAACACCTGCTCTACTCACCCTGTGAAAGTGGAAAAGAAGTCAGTAAGGCCTTTCTTCCCAATCATCCTAGTTGTCCTTGCTACCAACCTGCTTATCCAGAAATACCTAGACCTATGCACTCAGCCAAATGCATTTTAAATGATAAACAGCCAAGCACTTACAAGGGTCCAATGTTTTAATTGGATAAGCTACCAGCCTTCACTCACAGACTATTTTTAGGTGTTACTCTTACTGTAATGGCAGCCATGGTTCCGTGTCTCTGGTCTCATCAGATGAGCGATGTGATCTTAGGGAGATGGAGATAAGGCAGTGTGGTTGTGCTAGGTGCTGGCAATGTGGGTATTGTGAAAGGAGTCAGGAGCCCCAGCGCCAGCCTCTGTTGGCCTGTGACTTGCTCCCATGGCTATGTCACCTGTCTTTCTGAGCTGGGCTTTGGAGACAGGAGCTGTACTTGGCTTTTGGGTGAAGTTGATCAACACTTCTCCCTCTTAGAACACAGGTCCTCAAAGAGTAGTATGAGAAATGATGGGTGAGGGTAAATATTTTGTTTTCACTTGTGGTACCCAGCAAGGCGAAGATTTCAACACACATTAGTCAAGATTCTGAAAATGGCCTGATGGGTCACACTTGAAGGGTTCATCAGCCTCGATTGATGGGAGACACACTTGTGTTGAGTGATGGGTATCTGTCTTTGTGGGGAAAGGGACTCACAGTAGCATGCTTCAGCCAGCAGAGCCACTCAGGAGGGGGCTGGCAGGAGGGTGGGTCCTGCTTGGACCAGGAGACCTGACTTGACCAATGGCCCTGCCACTCACCAGCTCAGAGGCTGTGCAACCTTCCAGGGTGAAAAAGGTTCTGATTTTAATGGTTTCCCTCAGCATGGCCATGAGAACTGAGAGCTGATGTGACAGTGGGATGCTCAGGGCAATCCCAGGGCCCAGTACATGTGCACTCATACCACAGACCCTCATGGGAGCAGGTGGGATAGGTGCCAGGGGAGGCTGGGAGACTAGAAGGATGAGCAGGGCTAGAGAGGTAAGAAAAAGGTAAGATAGCATCACTAGCAGCAGGGGAAGCTGGGGTGGAGGATGGGGTGAGACTAAGCTTGGGCAGGGTTGGAAGAACTGGAAATACCCTGGGATGGACTGGGGTCTAGTTGAATACATAAGAGTCAATCAATACAAACAGATCACAAAAGTCACAGCAAGGAGGGGACTTTGCTCCTCATCCAGGAGCAGTGGGAAGTAAAGAAATGTGACGGTCACATCTGCATCTTCAGGCCTCACTGTGGCAGCAGCATAGCCAGGGGACAGGAGCAGCAAGGGGCACAAGGACAGGTCTGGAAGAGGCAGGGAGGAAAGTTGGAACAGAGACAATGGAATTAGGATTAAGAAATGGACACATTTGCAAAGAGTAAGGATGACACTCAGTTTCCGGGTGGCAAAGTGGGCACACGGTTGTCCCATCCCCCGGAACAGGAGTCCCCTGGTGTGCAGAGGGGCTGGAGGGCTGACTCCATATTTCTTCTTGGCAATGCTGAGGAGCTCATAGGCATCCATCTGAGAGGAGACTCAGGATGACGAGGTGTGTGTTACGTAAGGTGGAAATGGTGGTCAGGATGGGCAGGTGGCTAGATACTCAGGATCCTTGTTGGGGGTGGGGTGTGGAGGGACATGCAGCAGGCCAGACATAAGCCTGGCACTATTCAGACCATGGTATGAGGCAAGCCTACATGTTCCACCTTGTGCCCTCCCTGCCTCCTCCCCTTCCATCAACACAGGAGCCCAGGCTGCCGGTCAGTCCTGCTCCACCCCAGCTCGGTCACCATGCTGTGCTCTTGCCCTCACTCCCCCGTCCTAGTGACAGTGTCATCACAGAGCTGATTGGGGATTAATTGCTCAATATTTCACAAGGAAGAGTATCAAATCCATCCCTTTGCCAACTCATCAAAAAAGCAATCAAGTTTGTCTGTAGTAATTTGTGCTGTATAAACTCCAGGCTTGCTTTGATCAGGCTCCGGGGTGTCCCTGGGGCCTTCTTGGGTCCAGCTTTCCACTTAGGGTCCAGGATGTAGTTGGAGGGAAAGCCACATTTGGGTCTCTGGGACAGCTGAATGTGTGTGTGTGTGTGTGTGTGTGTGTGTGTGAGAGAGAGAGAGAGAGAGCGAGCGAGAGAGAGAGAGGGAGAGAGAGAGAGAGAGAGAGAGAGAGAGAGAGAGAGAGAGAGCGCCATGTATTGTGGTCTCTCTGCATCTGTGTACACAAACCCAGGCTCAGAAAGATGAAACCATGTTCTCTTTCCTATGCAGATTCTAACTTTTAATTTTTATATGTGTGTATTTATGGGGCTGAGTAGGGGTAGATGTCAGGAAAGGAAAGGGGAATAAAGAGGCTTTGAGGGAGTGGGCTGGGGAGGGCAATAGAGCACATAGGATATGAATGTGGAAGGGGAGGTACTGGGTGGAAGGGAAACGGGGGACAGGGAGATGGGGGAGAGAAGCAAGTGGGGACAGGGTTCAACCAAGATGAAGTCCTATCAAATTGCCACAAGCAAACCTGATGCTTTGTATGCTAATTAAAAATAAACGAGAGAGAGAGAGAGAGAGAGAGAGAAGGCAGTTAGATACTTTCAGGAAATGGAGGCTGAATGTCACCTGCCACCTGCCAACAAAAGCAGCCTTCAGAAGAGTCACTTTTGGGGCACCGAGGCCCAGCAGCTTCCTGCTAACAGAGCAGATGTACAAGCGAGCCGCTCAAGTTCTCAGAACTGCTTCTGTGACACATTAGGGCTTTTAAAATTTTTTTAATAAAAAAGAAAGATGATATTACAGAGGAAATCAACAACAAAGACAACCTCCCTTCAAAGTAAAAGCTTTAAACGCCTCATCTGGAGCAGCAGGTGGGTTTTAGACTCTGCTGCTGCTGGGGGCCCTGGGCAAGAGACTCTGCCGGGGTCCCTGATGGCTTCGGTGGGCCAAAGGAGTGTTTGCTTTATTGGTGAG